CTTTCTTTTCAAGCTTTATTGGTGAGCTTCCGCTGAAATAACAGCTTCCTCAGCGCGCATGACACGGGAAGTTTTGGTAAATTGGATAGCCTGTGGAGCGTTCCACCGCTGCTTGGTTGAATTCGTTGGGTGATCGTTGTGTAGGCTGCCCATATTAGTTCAGGCCCACTGTTCAATAAGCGCAGAGATGTGCGGAGCTGAAATGATGTATGTAAACAATCATCACCATGCATCGAACTCAGGATAATTTAGCGGTCGAATAATATTTGATTCTCATGATTCTGAAATGGAAGTACCCAGCACTCATTACTGTATGTCTTCGGAAACCATTCTTGCTTAGAATGTCTGGAAAGTGTAGCGGGTATTCGGGAATTTGAGTTGACGATGACAACGCTAGTGAATGATATTGAAATGGAATGCGTTACCTAGAATCTGGTTTTGAGTGGCCTTTATGTTCGTACGCATATCGTTACTATCAGTCTTTGTCAGTCGTTACCACTCTCTGACCCACACTAAGTATGTTATCATTTCAGCTCCTACAGCATAGCTCAAATACAGCGCTTCATTGCTGCAGCGAAACGCACTATGAATTTCGTAAGATTTGCGTTTCAGCGCCTCTTATCAGCTTATCGGTCGTTATCACTTCTCTGATCCCCATTAAATATGTTCCCGTCCCACCTTGTACATCACTTGTGGAACCAACGCCTCACTGTTGCTGGGACGCGCGCTATGAATTTTGTAAAGTTTGCGTTTCAACGACTCTTATCAGCTCTTATCATTCGTCATTCCCCACAAATGATGTACCTGTCCCACAACCTATATCGCTTCCCAAAATCAGCTCCTGACGACTGCTGCGACGCGTGCTATGAATTTTGAATTCTGAATTTAATTTTTTTTCCGTGACGCACACACAAACAGGCAGACATAGCGTTTTATATATGTAACCAGTTGGCGCCGCACGCATTGCGCGCACAACACAGATCTGCGGCGAATTTTGATGGTGCGACGAAAATTTTCAAATTTGGCTTGATACACCACGAATATCTGAATTCTCAGCTAAATTCTATCCGCTCCATCATCGACGGCTTTCAACCTCTTTTTCTTCGTCAACCATTATCCTCTTTTTCCCGGTCTCCGGACTGCTTCCGGACAATAAATCTCGTGGCAAACTCCGCCTACTTCGGTGCGTGCCCCGCCCACCAATAGCATTTGGCCCTTCCTTTCGCCGACCTCTACCCCCTTTTTCACCGGTCTCTGGGACCTCTTGGAACCAAATTACGACACTTTTGGCAAACTCCGCCCACTTAGGTGCGTGCTCCGCCCACCGTAGCAGTTAACTTCTCTTCCTTCGCTGACCTCTATCCACTTTTTTCCCGTTCTCCAGGACTTCTTGGAACCGAGTTATAATTTTTGTGGATAACTCCGCCCATTTGGTGCGTGCTCCGCCCACCATAGCAGTTGACTTCCTTTCCTTCGCTGACCTCTATCCACTTTTTCCCGGTCTCCGGGACTTCTTGGAACCGAATTATAATTTCGGCGCAAACTCCGCCCACATTGGCGCACGCTCCACCCACCCGTAGCAGTTAACTTCTCTTTCTTTGCTGACCTCTATCCACTTTTTTCCCGTTCTCCAGGACTTCTTGGAACCGAGTTATGAATTTTCGTCGCAAACTCCGCCCACTTTGGTCATGCCCCGCCCACCAATGACAGTTGGCCTCCACTCCTCCACCCACCTCTATCCACCTTTTTCCGGCTCACTAAGACTTCTCCGGCCCGAATTATGAGGACTTGTAGAAAACGCTGTACACTTCAGAGCGCGCTCCGCCCATTGTGGGCGGGCCTCCGCCCACGTCATGTATGCTGGGAAACACCTTAGACATTGCTCCCCTACACCAATTTGTTTTCTGCTCTGTAGGCTTTCTCCCAACCGAGTTATGAAATTTTTCATAAAGCACTGCTTTTTTGGAGAACGGGGTGGGTCTCCCTAATTCGATGTGACTTACCAATGCACACCTTTACCCACTTTTTGGCCCAGTTTCGAGGTCGTTTTCTAAGAGAATTGAAAATCTCGGTCAGTACACTTCATTTCGACGCACGCCACGCCCACTGTGGGCGGGGCTCCGCTTAGCTGATGTGTGTTTTGTACTTCGTGAGACCTTGCCCACCCGTCCCACACTTGACCCGGTCCCTCCAGGCGGATCCCGAGGAGCTAGGGAATTTCGTGACAGACATACAGAACGACAGACGACAGACGACAGACGAAGCGCTTTATACTAAGTAGGATAGTAGGGCTTTTGAAGAAAATGGCACACCGATTGTCCGTGATTGCTTTCAGGACTCAAGGCTTTCGAAGGCGTAATAAATCGATTTATAGTTTCTGAAGTGACTCCGGGAGAAATTTCTGGGAATATAAATGTTCTTTCACGTTACTGTTCTTTTTCGTTTTTTAAATCTTGCTTTATTTCAGTCCAATAGCATCATGGATGCGTGATCAAGTACTTTTTATCTTCACACCGGTGTTGGTGTGCAAGTTTCCAATGAAAACTGTCGGAGTGGACGATGCCATTTCTACCACGGGTCTACTGTATTCCCAGTTCTACCGTTTCGATAGTAACATGAAATGGTAGTGTTATTAATATTTCTGAGGATAACTTTCGAGTTTCCCTTAAAATTTTTATGTGAATTCGATTTCTGCAATAGCTATGTACGATAGGTAAAGAGTATGGTCTATATTGTTAGAGAAGTAATAAGGCTTAATTAGTATTTTGCAACAGGCTTCTGTCACGCTTGAAAGATGTACTTATTTTCCTCGATCGTGTGTGTTTACATCGTTGTAGGTTACCAACTTTGTTTATGATATTTAATTCACAATAGCATTTTAATAAACAGCATACGTCAAGTAAGCCTTACAAAATGCCATACATGTTGTTACTACTATTTCAAACGCACTTGCTCTCTTCTAATATTTCTTGGCGCTAGTTGTTTAATCTTGTAACTCTGACATGCCAGTCGCTGATGGTGGGATATTCATTTGTAGTTCCTCTGCATCACAACTTCTTTTCTGAAAGGCAACAGATACAATGTCACTGTGTCTCTTTATATAAAGTAGGCCCTTAGATTCGTAGTCTCATTGTATACTTACGGTAGCACTAGGAGTAGAAGTTGTGGAATGCAAGTTCATATAGTTACTCTTCAAAGTGATAATGAATTCCCTCGTTAATAAACGAATTTCTGTGTGGAGCCGCTGTGAAAGTTCAAATTGGAGTTATTTGAAGGGTCTCTATACCCTCAGCTATCATTGGTTATTTCAAAATAATTAACCGAGTTTCCTTGCAATTTCTTAGTGTCACTGCAATTTCCAAAGCATCATAGTGATGAAGTGCTTCTTTCTCAGATGCGTCGCGCCCGTATGCCAATTCTTACCATGTGTCGATGGGTACGTAGACGAGCCACGCTTCCACCGACGCAGTCTAGTGAGCACGGTATTTTAGACGAAGGGACAACGTTCGCCGATGTACATTCTGTCGTCTTAGATCCCATATCGAAGCTACCGTATCCGGAAAAAGTGATTTCTTTTTTCACTTTTTTATGCTGCGGGATTTGGGACTGTCTGTAAGTAGGGCGACTGGCGGCTGTGAAGGGAGAGGCGCGAGTGAGGTTGGAGCGCGTGGATTTCCGAAAATTCGCCATTTTTACAGTTACATGCAATACCCTTTTGACACACTGCTGAAGCTGTGGTGGCGAATAAGCAAAGCCACGTAGCCATTTTCATTTTGACTATGAGAAGGTGCAGGAAGTGTGAAGCAGGCCGTAAGGTCGAGTAGAAATGAGAGATGTGGTCTTGATCATCCCCCTCCCTCGACTGGGGCCCTTCAACCTCGAGGATTCTAAATTTTGCAAGAATTGTAACAATAAGAAATCATCAGCGTTTTGCCCTTCGTAGCGTTTTTGTTTCCGGTTTCCGCGTTTGTATGCCCAGAGAATCCCGCTCCTCAGAATTTTCAGCAGTAATCGGATGCGTTTTCACTACACTACAACGCAGTATTCATGACTTTCTCGATAAGCTTATAATTTTTAAATGTGGGATAGGCAGGAGATTTTTTAGGCGGTGATGGTAGATTTGACCAGGTCCACAGGTTTATCGTCGCCTCCTCGTTGAGAGGTTGTAACTGGTTTGACTAGAGAGGAAGGTCGTAAATGCCGGGTTCAGCAGTCAACAGAGCAGCGGTGACCTATCCGCGAGCGGCTGGGAACCGCGGCAACTCCATGTCGCGCAAGCGGCGTGTCTCTAATTGTGTCTTATCAATGCTGTACGCTTCCATCCCCTTCGCATGCAATGTGAGCGAGAGTCATCGAGAGTTCTAGCAGAGGCCGCGTCTTGCATGAAAGAATCCACTATCCAAAACAAAATACAATTTCCGGCTATATTTCAGAAACGCGCCGCCCGAACAACTCCTCACGGTGTTCGAGCAAAATCCTTCAACGGAACCATTTGCCCGAAATTATAGAACGCAACTTAATACACTGCGGATTCCGCCTGATATAGGGTGTTCCATAAATACTGCAACACAGTTTTTGCGGTGTAACTCTCCTAAAATTCAAGATAACTGGCTATCGACAGTAGTTGCTCAAGCACTGACGTACCTCGAGCAACAGTTTTAATTTGACAGGCCTCACTGTCGCCATGAATACTGCTCCGGGTCGCTTGGGCCAGGGTCAACCGTCACGTCAATTTCAAAAATTTTACGACCCCCCTCCTTTTGGCGAGTCTCAATACGACCCCCCCCAAACACTTATTATGTACTGTACACTTGGTAATTGTGTGTGTTTGCGTACTACTTCGTACTACTATTTCGAGCGTTACACCAGATTGAGCGCGGTAGCGTCGCGTTTGCATTGGCGCGCACAATCTTCTACTCGGCCCAGCGCGGATAGACCAAGGCAGACTACTAATTTTCAAAGAGTGTAATTCTGTTCAACGTCAATATTTTTCGAAACGCCAAGTAGATTTGTAATCTAGAGACTGCTAGTTTCAGAAAACCACATTTGTGCAGTATCTCCAGAACTCTTTTAGTTATGGGGTAGAGAATTAAGAATTCACAGAATGCGCACTTCTTCATTTGAAAGGTTGTAATTTCTTCAAATAAGAAAGTGTGAGAAGTGGTAAGAAAATTTTGAAACTCCAGATTTTCTTTCTAAAAAGTACTCGAACTTTTGTAAAGTTTCATTTCTTCAAAAAATCGCCCCGTTGGACCGTTTTTGTGCACAACCGGGTTTTTTGGCTTTCAATGACTATAACTTTCTTCAGAAAGAACCTTTTGCAATTATTGTCCCCCTGGGATAAACTAGAAGGTTAGAGCTTTCTAACGAATACTTGAACTCTTTTCAAAATTGATGGAGTCAAAAAATCGCCCCGTTGGACCGTTTTGGGGAAATCGCGGACCGATTTTTGGCAGAGCGCTGGTTTTTTGGCTTTGAACTGTTATAACTTTCTTCAGATTCAACTTTTTGCAGTTCTTGTCCCCTGGAAGAAACTAGAAGGTTAGAGCTTTCTAATGAATGCTTGAACTAGTTTCCACAATGACCCTTTCAAAAAATCGTCCCGTTGGACCGTTTTTTTCATGAATTTTCGGAGCTACTCTCCTGAAAACACGAGTTTTCAACACTCAAACACTCACAGCTCTCTTCAAACTCAATTTTATGGGGAGTAATGATACCACAAGATCGCACAAGCTTTGTGCTTCATAACAGATACTGAACTCTTCTAGGAACTCGTCGACAGGCAAATTTTTTTTCCAAACTTTTCTTGTAAGCCTTTAGCAGTCAATCTACCCAAGTGGTCACTCTTTTACTAACATAGGTTCAGTTTGAAGACATTGGTTCTCTTCAGATTTAGTCACATATGGACACTACTGCAGTGGACTCTTCTGCTCTGAGGTGCGCCATGCACTCGTTTGTGGTTAGTAGTTGAAGAAGCGCTCGGAAGTTATGCCTCTCTCCTACGTATGCGACGTTGGTCCTTGTAAATACGATACTCCACTTCGGCCGAATACGACCCGTGTTGGACTTTGTCCAACGGACGGTTGACCCTGCTTGGGACTCGCGTGTGATGTGCCCACATGGACTCAAGTTTTCCTCATTCAATTTTTGCGGGTAGAGTGTGTCCTACTTCGCGTGAGGGCAATTTTTAGTACGGATTCTCTCTACCGGGACAACCCAAATGGAATTGTCCAGCACGCTGGGATCAAGGGACTGGCGAGCTTTTCGTTTGAGTGTGCAAACTTGAGAATTGTGGCTCAACAGCGATCCTGAACAGTTTTCGCCTTCTGTGCGGAAACGCCGCCCTGTTGGGAAATCCACCACTCCTCATTAAAATGGCTTGTGACTTTAGTAACATATGCTGCTTAGAACATCCCTCCCCCACCTCCCGCCCTCAAATTTCGGTGTCGAGTTTTAGGATTTTACCAACAGGCAAAGCCTTATAGCAACCGTGTGTTGAGACCCCAGTCTTGACTAGAACAGGAATCGGAATATCTTGAGTAGCTGAGATGATGAGCTTTAGCCAGCCTGAAGGTTAACTTCTCTGCGTTTCTGCTTTCCAACTTTTCGTACAAGGCGTCCATTCCAGTGTTCTTTACTTTGGCGACGGTAGCCTTTGCAAGGCTCTTGCGCTCTTGTAGACAGTGAGGTTTAGAGTACCATGTCTCTCGCCAAAGCTTTTATGTTTCCTTCCACCTCTTCTCGACTCGCCTCTAGGTTTTCAGTATTGTATATGGTTCACCCAATTTGAAATATGCATGAAAGCTGTCAGCAGTGTAGTGTGATGAACCAAACGCGAGTCATAAAATGTATCAAAGTTCTTATTTACAGCTCGTGAAAGATCACGTGGAGAAGACGTCAAGTGAATTGCTGAAGGAGAGAAATCAAGCGAAGTGAGTCTGAAAGAAATTAAGTGTACGTCTCTGTTCGAATGGATCACTAATTACAGCACACCCTTTTACTCCCATTCCTCGAAAACTGGCGATCCGTGGAGCACGAATGTCGCATTCGTTTAGAGCGAAAACGCGTGGGTCTCGCGCCACAAGTGCCAGCGCCAAAGTGCTTGGCGATGCCTTGGGTTACCAAATTTGCTAGAGCCTTGTCGTCAGGTGTAGCTGGATCCATTAAACATTAAATGTCACATTATTCCGTTACGAGTGAGCCTGTATCCTGTGCCACAGGCACCGACGCGAACCCAGTGTGTTAGTGTTTTCCTTTGCAGCGGAAGCAAGGCATTTTTGCGCTTCACCGATGTGATTTCCTTGTTGTACGGGTTTGAATACTCCTAGAGGCAAATCCATAGTCTTCCGTTATTACATGCCGCATTTGTCCGTGTGCATCTTGAAACAAATTTCTTCTGGGTGTAAGGGAGAGAAGGCAATGAAAAAACAGTCTCCACAATCACAAGGATTTAGTCACACTTTGCTAGATTAAATCAAATGTTCTTAAGTCAGCGTAGGAGAGCACGTTCCTTTTTTGGGAAAAACTTCTTGGGTACCTGTACGTGAAGGGCATCAGAAATGTTTGTGGTGGAAGCCTGGTGCACTGCTCGAGCTCATTGGTGCCTTCGATCGATCGTGTACCATTACGACGGTTCTGAAAAGCGGGTTCAAGGGGTTTTGCATAGTTAGAGCTAATGTCTCTAGGAAACTATCCAACATTGAATCGATTCAAGAAATTATGTAAGAGCTTCAGGCTGAAGCAGTTACGGTAGGCCTCCTTGAGCTCGACGTGACAGATGACGTCATATTCTGAAGACGGTGAGGGCAGTGAAGGAGGGCCTGCGTCTACTTATAGAGGGGGTCTTAGAGAATATCTTGCTGAAGAACTTCCGTCAACGCGGCAATATCTGCGACTTTTTTTAGCCCCCTGCTTATCAGCCCTGGTGGTCAGGTTACGCTACCTCCGGTTAGGGAAAAATACGATTTTTTGGCGAATTTTTCATTTCGGACGCACGCCCCGCCCACTGGTGGGCGGAGTTTCCCATGGCCAATATATTCCCCTTAAAGAGCGACTCATACTCTACCCATTCCAAACTTGACCCGCCCTCCTTAGGTGATTTTTGAAGGAAGAATTATAAACATGTGGGGGACACTTGCGAATTTTTGGGGAGCGGTCAGACAAACAAACTCTGGTTTATATAATAGCGTGATAGGTGGAGGTGGGCTGGAAAGCAGACGAAACTATCGATTACGCCCCGTACAGAGACCTCCCCTATTTCAGCCACATTCCACCTTGGGATAGAGAAGAGGCTTGGACGAGTTTCACGAACCTAACTCTAGTTGCTCCAGTGCCAATGACATTGGGTCGCAATGGGACCGCTGCCTCAAATGCGCCCGCGCTTTTCAAGCAGCGCCACGTGGCAACCGACAGCGGAGGGTGGGGCTTGCGGACGAAGGTGTGAGTTGCGGGTCGGACGCAGGGTCAATCCTACGTTGTTACTAGTAACAACGGGGGGTCGTACCTGGTTGAGTTTATAGGAGGGGGGTCGTATCCGCTTCAGTCGCGTGAAAGTACATGTGAGTTTGTGGTGAAAGTGGAGTTTTCACGAGTAGTAGGCTAGGTGAGTTGGGAGCGCATGGGGGAAACTTCCCCTAGAAAATGAAGCAGTGGGATTATAGGTGGAAGTGAGGAGAAATAGGGGTAAATTGGTTGAAATTTAGGGAATTTTGGTAAATTTTTACTGTTTCATAGTGGCTATATACCCCCGCTCGACGGCATTTTTGGAGGAAAAAGTGGGCGGAGTTTGGTGGGTTGAGTGGTACCAGAATTAAATACTATAGAGAGGAATATGGTGGTCGAGGGTCGAAAAGGGGGTCGTACCAAATCCACCTTGGGGGAGGGGGGTCGTAAAAATTTTTGAAAAAGTAACAACGATAGGACTGACCCTGGTCGAACGAGCTCCTTGCGCCTTTGTCGTGCACTTTCAAGAGACAAAAGGGGCGCGACATCAACGCTTGTCTGCCTGTCTACTATCTCCGGGGTGAAACAGGCGAGTGCATCTAATCCCGGAGCGTTCCTTCAAAAGCGTACATGCCCAGTGCAATAGCCCGGCTATACTCAGATCCACTGAAATCCACTTTGACATGCGCGCGATAGCGAGCGGAGCCAAACTGGTCAACAACAAGCTGCAAGGAAAATGTTTGATTGCAATTTCAGCGAAAAACGGCGGTTTAGGCGCACTGAATTCTAGCGCTTCTTCACAATTTTCTTCGAAATATCGCATGTGAACTCTAAGATGCCATGACCTTCCCTTCCTCTGTGTGCCCCTCCTTTTTACTGCCCACGCCATTTGATATCAGAAGCTTTTCTTGATTCTGAGCGTTACCCAAGGCTACAGGGCTACGGCTCTACTTCAAGCAAAGGGGTGAATCTCAGTTTAGCTAATAAGGACCCCAGATGCAGTTTGAGCTCGTGACGCGAAGACGCCGTGCTACGAGAGCAAGTTGTCGAGTTCTCTTCAAGACCACACATGCTACATGCAATGATCGCTCTAAAGAGGATGAGTATGGCACTTTCATGCGAATGATTGCGAGATTATCCCTCATCACACTAGTTCACTGCTGTTCATAGATTATTAGCGAAAAGAAGGGTTTTGACTTACTAGGTGGGCGGAAAGAAACAGTCGGCAGTAGGTACCCATGAGTGGAATGTTGAAACAATCCTACTTTTTTCTCAAACCAAGGCTAAATTCATTAGCAATCTGTTAGAAATTGGTTTGCACATATTATAAAGATCTATCAAGCCAAAACGTTGAACTCATTCTTTGTACTAATCACAAGCTACACAGCTACGCCGTCATCCATAGCAGATCACCATAACTTATCATAGCAGCTTGATTCCAGTTAGCAAAATTGGGAGGTACATTAGGACAGCGTCATATCACGTAAAATAAAGTCTCGAACCACCCAACGTCGTGCTACTTATGCTTTGATATTAATTTTGATTTCTTTTCGCCGTTCCTTCTCATCCTTTTACTGGAACCTTCCCACTTGGGCCTTCCTAATACTAATACTGTCACATTCAAACATTAGGGATGATCCGCGACCGATTGGCATTGAAATTACAGCAGGACTTGGTCTCATAAAATGCACTGTTCGCCAGAATTCAAACTGCGTTCGCGCGAAAAACTCGTCCAGGCATCTTTTCCGTGTTGGCAGAGCGGCGAGTAAATTGGTGCGCTAAGACCACCCAAAAATAGAGGTACATAGAGGCCGCCAGTGGCGAGCAGAGAAAAACAGTCGGAAACTACAAAAAACATCCTGTTTTCCTCCTGGCAGTCGAGATAGGCGGTGGAGTACTACGGCAAGGGATAGTGCGCGTCAAGACGACCCTCGCTCGGAGAAAAGAGAGCATAAAATGCTGTCAAGGCGCAGACAGTGACGTGTTTTTATCGGCGATTGACCGCACTGAGGACTTGGCGGCCTCAGCGGACATTTGACCGCTTCACTTTCTGCAATTGCGCATCTTCCCAAACGCACTGGATATGTTGTCGTATGAGTTGGCGTGTCAACAGATTTCTTAGGCGGCCACTGTATTTGATAGAAGTTCACGTGGATAAGCCATTTGTAGCACACCTTGCTAATAACCAGCTGAGCGTTTTGGAAACAGCTTACTTACGCGACTTCCATCATGTGCGGTGGCCACCACTGTCGAAACGCCTACCAGACGGTGAGATGTCGATAGTAACTCACTATATGTTTTGCTCCATACAGCGGCATCTTAGGATTTGCTTGAAAGCAGTGATTGTGGTTGAGCACCGAGGAGGTGTTTGCATTACTGAAAGCTATGGTCAGTAGTGAGGACGCTGTGTGGCGTTTTCGCGATGAACGGTGGATCATTCAGCTCAGTAAGGTTCAGAACCTAAAAATCGCAGCGCCCCAAACTGCCATAATACTACCATAATACTACCATAACAAACTACCATAATGTTGCATACAACACCATCAATCGCTTCTTAACTCGAAGAACATTTCACTTGAGAGGAAGGCCTTACAGAGCGTGCCAAGCTTTTTTCGAAAGCAAGCTCCGGGATATAATGGTGTATAAGAGCGTTTTGTAAAGAACAGTCAGCTGCGAAATGAACATGTAGTGGAAAGGGTAGCAGGAGAAATCATTGGGAACATTAAGGTTTATCCTTCGAGCGAGAGAGCACACTGATCTCTAAATCAATCGCGGGAAGGCGAAGATAGATGATTCAGCTTATGTATCGGGTGGGCAAAAATACGGGAACAAGATTACAGGTCATAAAAATGCAATGTGACCGGAAAGCCCAAACACCTTCATATTAATCAACTTAACCAAAAACAGTGCTTCTCCTGGAGTAGTCACTTATCCCTTCGACGACAATGCGAATTTGCACGTAGCTTGCTCGGGACCACGCCTCTTTTTGGCGCGCCCAACTCTCGCTCACAATTGGGCAAAATTGTCCCTCAAAGCAGTTTTCTATAGAATTTTTGACTTTAACAGTATACCAGATATAACTGCAGTTCTAGGCTTTCATACTGTATATTGTTTTCAAGAGAATTCCAAATTTGGAAGGGGAACTCGGGTTTCAAAGGGAAGGAGGGCAAAACCTCTAAAAGTTAGTGTCCAAGAGAATTTTCGATACACTTCAAACCCCTTCCCGTATCTGAGGGCTATGAGAAGACGAAGAAGTCCTGATTAGTAATTAATCTTCGGCCTAATAATGCAAAACCCAATTAATATGCTGGCGAGCTAAATGGCACATTTCAAAATCCTATATACATTAGCTCTCAAAGCAACAGTCCAATCAGGGTTTCAACCATTCGGTTTCAAGTGGTGGAAACATGCCTCAGCCCAAGTGAGTTCATAGGAAATGTCACTGACTTCAAAACTTACCTTTGAAATGCGTTGGAAGGGGTCGAAATCCTTCG